GCACACCCACCCGAGAGTGCACACCCACCCGAGAGTGCACACAGCCACCCGAGAGTGCACACCCACCCGAGAGTGCACACCCCACCCGAGAGTGCACACCCCACCCGAGAGTGCACACCCCACCCGCGGGCACACCCCACCCGCGGGCACACCCCACCCGCGTGCGCACTGCACACACCACCCGAGAATGCACACCCTGCCCGCGTGCACACCCCACCCATGTGCACACCCCACCCACGTGCACACCCCACCCACGTGCACACTGCACACACCACCCGAGAGTGCACACTGCGCACCCCACCCGCGTGCACACACCCACCCGCGTGCACACCCCACCCTCGAGTGCACACTGCGCACCCCACCCGCATGCACACCCCACCCTGGAGTGCACACTGCACACCCCACCCGCGTGCACACACCACCCGCGTGCGCACGCCCACCCGCGTGCGCAGCCTACTCTCGTGCGCACACACTGCACACCCCACCCGCGTGCACACACTGCACACCCCACCCGTGTGCACACACTCACCCGCGTGAGCACCCCACCCGCGTGCACACACTGCACACCCCACCCGCGTGCACACTGCTCACACGTACGCACACACTGCACACCCCACCCGCGTGCGCACACACTGCACACCCCACCCGCGTGTGCACACACAGCGCACCCCACCCGCGTGCGCACACTGCCCAGCCCACCCGCGTGCACACACCCGCGTGCGCACCCCACCCGTGTGCACACACACACACACTGCGCACCCCACCCGCGTGCTCACACTGCACACCCCACCCGCGTGCACACACACACTGCACACCCCAATCACGTGCACACCCCACCCGCGTGCACACACTGCGCACCCCACCCACGTGCATGCCCCACCCGCGTGCCCACCCCACCTGCACGCGCACACACGCGTGCATACCCCACCCCGTACGCACACATGTGTGTGCACAGCCACCTGCGTGCACACCTGGGCTGCATGCACACACAGCGCACACCCCAGCCCTGTGCACACCCCCAGCACCGTTTTCACACCCACCCGCATGCACACCCCACCTATGTGTGCAGCCCAGCCCACATGTGCACACCCCACCTGCCTGCACACGCACATGTGTACGCCTCAGTCCGTGTGTACACCCCACCCACATACACCCATGCACACCCCAGACTGAGTGCACAACCACCTGTGTACACACCAGGGCCGCGAGCACACGCCCAGCCCACATGCAAACCCCAGTACCATGTACACCCTCCGCCCCGTGTGCACACCCATCCATGTTCACACACATGTGCACAACTCAGCCTGTGTGCCTACCCCACCCGTGTACACACCAGGATGAAGTGTACACCCCAGCCTGAGTGCACACTCCAGCCCGTGTCCACACCAGGACCAATTGTACACCCCAGCCCATGTGCACAGCTCCAGCCTCATGTACACACCAGCCCCGCGTGCACACCCCCAGCCCCTTGTACAGCCTCAGCACCACGTGCACACCCTCAGTCCGCCTGCACACCAGTCCTGTATGCACACCAGGACCACGTGCACACCTCCAGCCCTGTGTGCACACCAGCCCTGCATGCACACCCTCAGCCCCGTGTGCACACCCACACTGTGTGCACAATCCCTGGGCACTCAGGAGGCAGGAAGGATGTGGCCGGCTGTGGATCTCTCTCTGTCTGTGTCTTTGTCTGTCTCTCTCTGTGTCTCTGTGTCTGTCTGTTTCTCTTTGTGTCTCTGTGTCTGTCTGTCTCAATGCTGGTACTAGGACTTGAACTCAGGGCCTGGGCACTCTTCCTCTGCTTTTTCGCTCAAGCCTGGTGCTCTGCCACTTGAACCACAGCCTCCACTTCCATCCTTTTGCTGGTTCATTGGCGATAAGAGTCTCTTGGACTTGTCCATCTGGGGCTGGGCCTCCAGCCACGATCCTCACACTTCTGCCTCCTGCATAGCTCCAGACGACAGACACCAGCCAGCCGTGCCCAGCTGGTTTCCCGGGGAGACCTCTGTGCCCGGGTGTCCTGCAGCGGGGGAAACTGAGGCACAAGCTCAAAGCCAGGCAACAGCCCAGAGAGATGTCAGAACCAGGCAGGCAGCCGGGCTCAGCTGAGCCGAGGAGGCCCAGCCTCTTAAACCAGAGCCCCGGCATGAACCATGATGGCCAGCCGGGCGCCGGGGCTCACGCCTGCCATCCCAGCAACTCGGGAGGCTGAGATCTGGAGGACGACGGTTCAAAGCCAACCCAAGCAGGGAAAAAAAAATCCAGAGACTCTTATCGCCAATGAACCAGCAATAATAATTGATAATGATGATGATGATGAATACAAAGTAAAACCAAAAGGCAGACGTGGAGGTGTGGCTCAAGTCACAGAGTAGCAACAGCTACCTGGCACCCCCAAAATTAACTAAATAAATTCAAGCCATTAATTCTGCGATTCCCACAGCAGCTGGCCCAGCGGGCGATGCGGTTCTTTGTCCACTGTGGGTGGTGGCTTTAGCTTCAGGACCAAGAAACACATCCACAACCAAAAATCACCCTCCCCCCCCCACCTCCTCCCAGAACTGATTTAAAGCCAAAACGCTGAATGCTAAAAAGAAAAGAAAAAGAAGTTTTGACTGCCATTAATGCCAATATTCCAGAACTATGTCTGCACCTGAACTACCAGAACGAAAGCACTGCTATAATTCCTTTTTCCTCTCTGGATTTCTCATTACATTTTCTTCATATCAAAAAAAAAATCCCACCATGATTAATCAAGGATCGGAATTCATTTTTTTTTTGTTTTCAATACACCTGGGTGGCCATTCTAAACCCCTGATTCCAAAGATCTAGCTCTCTCCCCTAAAGAAGCACCCCCCACCCCGGAACATCGAATCTCTGGATTTCTACATCAGTGTCTCATACACACACACACACACACACACACAAAGAATAATTCTTTTGAGATTTGCCCAACTCCAGCTGCTTTTGCAAAGAATAAAAGAACTTTTTCCTCCCATCTACCGCAAACAAATCAATGACAATACACAAATACATAAATAGATGTAAAAACAACACTCACCTCACAGTCTCTGGGTCCCAGGCTGGCCGGCTCAGATCCCCAAGGCCAGCCAGCCGGCTCTGGGGTGGGGATGGGGCTGGAGGAGATGGCGTAGCTGGAGAGACTGGGTAGAGAGCGGATGGAGCTTGGGAAGGAAGCCAGAAGGGATGTTTTAGAAGAGCCTGCCAGCCAGGGAAAACCCAGCTATGGGGAGAGGTGGTTGGTTCAAGGCAGGGAGGGCTGGCGGCTCCCCTTACGTTGGACGTCTGGTCCAGCTGCGCCCGCCTTTAATCACTGCCGAAGCTCTCGCTGACAGAAAGCATCATGAATAAAGAAACAGGTGGTTGAGATGCCTCCTCCTCTTCCTTTCTCCACCCTCTCTCCACCAGGCCTCAGCCAGGCTGGGTGAGGGAAAAAAAAAAATCTAGAAAATTCTAGGCAGGAAGCTTGAAGCCTGAAATTGCCCGCGGGATTTCTGTTTAGCATCGCCTGATTTCCCTTTTTATTTTATTTTTTTTGCCTTTGCTGCCAGTCCTGGGACTTGAACTCAGAGCCCTGAGTGCTCTGTACCAAGAGCTTCTTTTGCTCAAGGCCTGGTGTTCCACAGCATGAGTTGGATCTCCTCCACTTCCAGCTTGTTTCTTTTATTTTTGTGCCAGTCCTGGGGCTTGAACCCAGGGCCTGGGCGCTGTCCCTGAGCTGTTTTTTTGCTCAAGGCTGGTTGCTCTACCACTTGAGCCACAGCACCACTTCTGGCTTTGTCTGTGTCTGTGGTGCTGAGGAATCGAACCCAGGGCTTCCTCCGTACTAGGCGAGCACTCTACCACTGAGCCACCCTTCCAGCCCTCCAGCTTTCTTTGTTTTATTTTTAGTGGTTCATTGGAGATAAGTCTCAGGACTTTCCCGCCTCAGCACGGGCTTCGTGAAACTGCGATCCTCTGGATCTCAGCGTCCTGAGTAGCTGGTATACCGGGCTTGAGCCACCAGCGCCCAGCTGTGAGCCACCCAGGGAGGAGGGACAGAGGGGTGGTGGACAGGCTCAAAGCCAGCGAGATGGGGCTCGGAAGGTGGCCAAGCCCGTATGGAAAAGCCCAGCCCAGCGAAGGGACTGGCTGGGAATCAAATGGGATATAATTAACTTAAAGTATCCCAATAAACTTGTTGTCATGCTTTATAAAAGGCTACAAATATTGTCTCCATTTATCCTGGCTCCAGCTCTCCTTGGCTTCAGGCCTCTTGTTAGGAAGAAATAACCGAGAAGCCTTAAAGCGACAGCCTGATCGATTTATTCAAGGAAGGAATAAAAAGGCCTGACCAAGCCAAGCCCGGTGGCTCACGCCTGCCATCTCCCCTACTCAGGAGGCTGAGAGCTGAGGATCGTGGTTGGAACCCAGCCCCCAGGGCAGAAAGGTCCAAGAGACTCTCATCTCCACTTCCAGAAAACTGGAAGTGGTTGAGTGCTAGACTTGAGTGGAAGAGCTCAGGGACAGTGTCCAGGCCCCAAGTTCAAGCCCCACAACCCACAAATAGTCATCCTAGTTACTCAGGAAGCTGAGATAGGAAGATTTTTGTATTTGTATCTACAAGTTACTATTATATTTATATTTTATATAAGTCATAATGATTTATATAATATAATACATATAGAATATATAGAGCATGTAAAATATAGAATATATTCTATGTATTCTATACAATATGTTAATATAATAGAATTATATTTATATAAGACACATATAACTTACAGAATATACAAGTATATTTATATACTCTGATACATAGTTATGTTTATAAGCCGGGCGCCGGTGGCTCATGCCTGTAATCCTAGCTACTCAGGAGGCTGAGAGCTGAGGATCATGGTTCAAAGCCAGCCCGGGCAGGAAAGTCCGTGAAACTCTTATCTCCAATAAACCACCAGAAAACTGGAAGTGGTACTGTACCTCAAGTGGTAGAGAGCTAGCCTTGAGCTGAAGAGCTGAGGGACAGCGCCAGAGTTCAAGGCCCACAACCAACAAAAAAAAATTATTATTATTATGTGTATATGCAATTCTATATTTACATACCATATTCTATTTGTATATTATATGTTTATATTTAGTATAATATCAATAACGTGCATATATTACCTTGATATGTGATTATATTTATATATAACTGTAATATATCATATATTAAAATATGTTATACGTAACATACTTATACATTGTAACATTATGTTACACTTATACTATATTACGTATATAACAAAATTTATATATTTTTCCATTTTATATAACTTATATATAATTTTTTCTATTTTATATAGTTTATATGTATAAGTTCCGCATAGTTTGTATGTAATCTCTTTTTTCTTTTTGGCCAGTCCTGGGGCTTGAACTCAGGGCCTGGGCACTGTCTCTGAGCTTCTTTGGCTCCAGGCTGGCGCTCTACCACTTGAGCCACAGCACCACCTCTGGCTTTTTCTGGGTATGTGGTGCTGAGGACTCGAACCCAGGGCTTCCTACCTGCCAGGCAAGCACTCTACCCCTGAGCCGCCTTCCCAGCCCTAACATGCCCATTTCTGGTCAGATGGGACAGGAGTTACTGGTGGAAGAATAAAAGCTCAGCTGCTTCCAGAAAAAGACACTGGCGGGCAGGCGTGGGGAGGAAGCGCGCTTCCCCGCTCACCAGAAGCTCAGGAACCACACAGCACAGAGCTCCAAACCACAGCTCAGAAAGCTCGCTCACCAGGGCCGGGGTAACCCGAGAGGGCTGGTAATGGCGGCTCCAGAGCAGCTGAATGACCCTGTGGCCAGTTGTGTTATTATGCCTAGCTTCACCGAGAGGAAATGGCTTTCAAAGAAGAGCTTCAGGGCTCTGTGTGTGTGTGTGTGTGTGTGTGTGTGTGTTTGGGGTTGGGGGGTGGATGATAGCTTCTAGAACCTTCTGCTTCTAGAACTTTGGCCTTCCAGAGGATTGTCTGGGCTTCCTAGTGACCAGAGCTCTGTTGTTCCCAGGAGGGCCCGAGCCATCCGCAGGTCTAAAGGAGAGAAAATGGAAGATGTGATTTGTGGGATCAAGAGTCAGTAAATG